GCATTTGATCCCTCGATTTTGATTATTATCGTGGGCTGCTTCATGTTTGTAATCACATTCTGCGGATGTATTGGAGCTCTGAGGGAAAACAAACTCTTACTACGAATTGTAAGTTACCGGTAAATTATGTAACTATTCTGCTTTTAAGATCCCCATGAAAATTCAAGGGTTGTCGCTAAGATTTCAAGTTGCCAAAGTTAATACAACAAGTAGGCAGGGAATCAAACAGCTAGGGGTTTCTAACAGTTTTTCAAGGTTCATATTTGTTGTTTGTAACATTTGATATTAAATATAATACTGGGGAGACATATTTGTTTGACACAAAGCTGTAATTTTGTTATTCGCAAGGAATGTCTCAAGTTCAGGATGAAGACTTGTAATTGGCATTATAAACAAAATGAAGTAGGCAGCTGTGACAGAGCTCCTTTAATATCATGATTATTTTAAATTTTGTAGTTTATGGGATTACTCACCATTATCTTCATCTTGGAACTGGTCACAGGATTTGTTGCATTCTTTTTTGTTGACAAGGTAAAAGGAATTAAATTGTTCATACACACCTTTGCGAAGTCCAATGAAAGCTTTTAGTTTTGTTTGCGAGTGTTTGTTTGCGATTGTTTAGACTGTCTTTAATAATACCTATAGGCTCAAATAGTAAACAGCATCTGATCTTTCACTATGTCACTGAATTTAACAGAAGGTCATTGAAGAAAAGGAAATGACCTTTTCCCCTGCACTGTTACCATACAAGATTTGAAGGAAACTATGCAAATCAGAGAAAGAAAAAAAAGATGGATGTAAATTTTTTAGAAATCAAAACTGACTATGTCTTAACTGTCCAACCACCCATAGCCTCTCTGTTTCTAATAATAAGTCCATTGAGGTAATTATAGGTGAGAGACATCTTGTGGGAGGCAGCAGTAGGAGGCAGCATGGCAGAGTGGTCAGCGCGTCAGACTAGCAATCAGACCATCCCGGGTTAGAGTCCCACTCTGGCCACTTGCTGGATTTGTTCTCTGTCATCCCAAGTTCAAATCTTCAGCCACACTTGTAAATAGCCAACTGGCTGCCTCCCGCCAGTTGGGGTTTTTAATCCTGTTATGTTTTATTTGCATTATCTGTTTCAGAATTATTTGAATGGAGTGCCTGTAAACTAGCTGGATAAGCTAAGTGCACTTGCCACTATAACCAAACCTTTGAATTAAAAAGACATAAATGGTCATTTGCATAAAAAATAGAGGATGCAAGTTCTTGTTCTTCAGACTGCTACTCTCACTTTTCAAATCTTGCCTCTTGCGGTGCATGAGTACTGTTGGGCCTCTTTGACTTTGTCTACTCACAAAGTTTTTTGAAAACAAAAGATTCTCAAGAACAATAGCATACATAATTTTATTTGAGGGTTGTTTCCTGAGAACTCAGTTAATGGTTTTATAGTTTTCAACGGTTGCATAATTGAACCTTAAATTTATTTGCAAAAAAATTGAGAATCTTTTGTTCATAGAAAACGTTGGGATTGGACAATTCTCTAGCAAGTGTCCCGGTTTGAGTGTCTGCAATGTACTAAAAGTAAAAACGGGATAGAAATAATTGCTTGCATTATAGAGGTTTCTGTACAATAGTATAAAGTTTTATTGCTTTGTCTGGCATTTTTGACATTGTATAAAGAATCGGCCATACAATTTTGGAGAGATGTCTGTATTTTATCTCGTTTGATCATCTTCTTCCACATTCATTACAATAAAGCCAGAGCAAACTAAGCTCTTTATTCGAGGCCATATCTGGCCCCATGTATAAGGCAATCCAAATTCCAAAATCTGGGAAATTTTTGCTCGTGGAATTCGGTATCCTGGGCTTTGGAATCTGGATTTCAGCCTTAGGAATCTGAAACCCCGCTAACGTTTGGAATTCAGAATCCAAGTTCCTGCTGATGAGGAATATTGAATCTACAGCGTAGATAAATACAGAATCCAAGACTGCTAGGGATTGCCTTACCTGTCTGAGATGGGGCAACATATCCCTTATAACAAATCCCTGAAAATTGTTTTTAAAAAAATCATGGGGGTACTTAACGACTGTTTTCTGTAAAATGTCTGTTCGAGGCAAATATTGCGTAGAATTTTTAGTACTTGAAGATGGCCAAAAATTTCTAGATGACCGTTCTTTTCATGTACAATTTTCGAAGCTTACCTCATAATTTCCCTATGATTTTCTTAAGTTTAATTTCTCACATTTCACTTCCGAGGTTACGCTATTTTTCGTAGAAAAAAGGAAACCGAAAATTTTTGGATTTAAAAATGTGATGCATGGAGAGAGGAATCTAAAAAATTCTTACTTTCGAAATACATTAAATCGCACCTAAAATTTTCAGGAAAAGAAAACCATGAAGACCCTTGTAATTTTGAAAAGACTTAAGTTCCCCTAGGATGACCGAACAGATACAAATTTTATAGCACCGCTTAGAATGTATTTCTAGAGATCGATAAGTATACTGAATAATCTTTAAGAGTGATTTCAATGTATTTAGGAGGAAACCGTCGTTGGGCGCCCCTGAAATCAGTCAAAATACCTAAGTCTATTATCCCTGCAGACCCGTAGTAAAGTGAAAGAGGCAACATACAAGGTGATCAAGCGGTACAGAGATGACCCAGATCTTCAAAACGCCATAGATGGAATACAGAAAGGATTGAAATGCTGTGGAGGATACTCTTACCATGACTGGGAACATAATGAGCACTTCAACTGTTCAGTCAAAACAGTACAGGCATGTGGGGTACCCTTCTCATGTTGTCGCGAGGTAAGCATATCTGCGCTCTTGAGCCAGATCGCCGTATGGTCAGTTGCTTCTTAAAGCATTTGAAAAGAAAAATGAGAAGTAACATTACAGTAAAACTCCGCGACTAAGAGCCTGTTAGGCTAAAATTTGGCACTTAAAGGAGCTGTGTCACGAAATTCAGCCAAATTAGGACACGGGTATTACAAAACGACCGTTAAATCCAAGAGAAAGATAAAAATAACCGCTTAAAACATTAAAGGAAGGTTAAAATAACACAACAGATACAACAGATGTCACGGATGGGCAAAAGTGACGAAGATTGAAAAGGACTGAAATTAAGGTCTTTGAAAACTGTTCAGCCTAACAGTTTTTCAAAGTTTATCTCTGCTGTTTGCAACTTCAAAAATAATGCTCAGGAGACATATTTGTTTGTCTTGAATCTCTGACTTTGTCACTTACATGTAATTTCTTTGCTTACTTTAAGTTCCATAGCGATTGAAGGCGAGTAATTGGGAAAATTAAACAAAATGAACTGGACTGCGGTGACACAGCCCCTTTAAGCCCCCTCTATTTAAGAACCTGTTTAGCCTAGAATTTGAAACAGGTTCTTATTTTCTAAAATCTATGAAAAAATTCTGTGCACTTGGGCAAATAACGTAAGTCAGCATTAAGAATCCTCTTTGGAGACACACAATTGCTATTACTACTACTGACCAAATCATTTTCATCTCTCGGAAGAGCTCTACCTGGGATAGTCTCCTTTGTAGACGCTCGGGCGGGAGTCACGCAGGAAGCTTGCGTGACTCCGGCCCGAGCGGCTACGAAGGAGACTATACCTGGCAAGGCTCAGTGAAGATAAATCTATAAGTCTTTCAATGCCTCGCATGGGATAAAGTGGAAGATGAGCGTCAGACTGGGTCGCTGTTGTGTCGAATTGCACTATGGGACTGTTTTGGGAACACTGTCCATTGGTTGTTGCCAGGTTACACAGGAAATTGGGTTAAAACATTCCCAGAGTTCCCCTAAAAACGCCTACGTGAGAGCGAGGCTAGCTATTGTGATATGGTGGGGCTATTTTTCAGTGTCTTTTCAATCTTTTTTTCAAAACTCTTTGATAATTCATAAAGAAAAACTAAAGAAATTAGTGTTTAATGAGTGTCTTTATATCTGATAAAGGTGCGGCTTAACTTTACGTCCAATTTTTTAGACCAAGATAACCTCAAATCTAAATATTTGTCCAAGAATGAGGTGATCTATATCAGAGATTTTTAAGCCGTGCAAAAAACTCGCAGTTGTGTATTATCAGGTGTAAAAACTCTCGGTTTCGTCTTGAGTTTTACGTCATTTGGTGTTTGCAGGTATCCCTAACACCGAAAAAACTAACAAAATTGACCTATTACAGGGTACCAAGAAGAGTTGCTCGCTGCATAATTTTTGTTTACACCGATATTCTTTGTCGAACAGGATCAAATAAATACACAGTGTGGATTTTCTGTACGACGAGAGAAACTCGTAAGTACCTTTTATTAATCAGTACGCGCCGCAAACAAATTTTACCAAAGCAAAAGGAAAAAGGACGACGTGTATTACTAAATTAATATCATGCACCTGCTTTGCTTGTTTAGTCGAGGTGTTACAGATCTACTCTATACTGTAAAAGATTACATTTTTGTGGCGTTCTATTCCTTAGACCTCTCAGTAACTGCGGCCACATTGTGCGTGACCCCTCCTAAAATGTTGTGCAATTGGACAATTGAGGGAATTCCACTCATTTTAGGTATCCTACTGATAAACTGCTACTACTAGGATATTTGCTGGATCGACAGGCCATACTTGTAGTCTGTCCCCTTCGAATTATAGTGTCGTCTGTATAAAGTAGAACTTATATTCTAACTGCTTTATCGTAGTTGCCAGATTCTGCTGACAGCTTCCCCTCTTCCATTGTTTGTGAACTCGTCTTAAACAATGATTTTATTACAAATAGGTATGAAGAGTCCTGGAACTCATTTTGTGAAAAATCATGAGTTCCAGTTCAAAAAAAAGTGAGTCCGAAATTGAAAATGCTTCAGGGACGCGCCTTTAACCAGACAGTTAATCTGAAGACAGACTCCAAAACTCTGTATTACAGTTTACTGAAATTCAAATATAGTCAGTTCTATTTTAAAGCACAACAAAGACTAAAAGAAATATGCATCGTTAAACAACAGCCATAATGACTGCCACAGAAATTACGCGAACGGGCCGGATATTTCTTCAAACACGCATGTTCAGATCGATCGGTTTTTGCGTCCTACGGGACGCATGCCATAAATTATTTTCGCCTTTGGGGATTTGCTTTGCGTCAGGGACGCAGGACACAGAGGTAACAAAATCACTACTAGAAATATCGGAATTTTTAAAAAAACACGATTCGAAGCCTCTCATAAGCCAGTGTTCATTCAAATGTGGCATGTGTGCAAACTGTCCTGTGCGCATCTCTCACTTGGTATCTACAACATTTGTATTCCTTAGGAAACAGAAGCTCCCTCGTTGATTTACACCCAAGGATGTATAGACAGCCTGACAAACTGGATTAACGACAATCTTCACATCGTTGGCGGTCTGGCATTTGGTTTTGCAGTTATCCAGGTCAGTGTGTATTTCAGTTTAAAGGAGCTCTGCCCCGGCTGTCTTTTTAAGTTTATTTTGTGTAAAATGGCAATTACGCGTCCTTGTTCTCTATGGAAATTAAGATTTTACTTCTGAATGACAAAATCACAGCTTCGTGTCCAGCAAATGCACCTCCCAAACATTTTTTCAAACGTTAAAAACATCAAATGAACCTTGAAAAACTGTTAGGCTAACAACTGTTTTCAAAAAGCATAATTGCAATCTGTTTAATTCTCTTCCAATCACGTTTGTTTATCCATTCGTCTTTTTGTATTTGCTGTGTTATCTATATATGTAAATTCTTTCCTTAATTTCTTCGGTTTCACTCAATTTGGTGATAGTTCCCACCGTCTGAATTTTGGTGAATTTCTTGACACAGTTCCTTAAAACATTCATCAGTAATTTCACTGTGGGTCAGCTACTCCGTTAGCAAAGTACTCTTTAAGATTGCCGATAAGGTATCCAGATCGTTGGTGGGTATCAGGTCGTTTCGCCCGAAGTTGTTTTGCCCGAACGTAAGTCGATTCGCCTGATGTTAAGTTGTCGCTCTTTAAGACTGAAAAAAGGAATAAGCGTGAAAAAACAGTAACTGCACATGTGGGTCAAAAACTTTTCCAGCGAAAACGTGAACAAAAATACAAATTACACATCAAAGATCTAATTGTTTCGATTGCTGAGGTACATATAGACTTCAGTTTTTATGTACAGTCTGTTGTCTCGAATATGATTATCAAGATCGCTAAAATCTTTCAGATCGCTCGACCTTTAATTTTTTAGGAATCGCAGCAATAGAGACCAATAGAATCCAAGCTTAACTAAAAACATCGCTGATATTAAAGGCGTGTTGAAGAGTGTTGTTTGTCTTCGGGCGAATGGACTTACGTCCGGGCGAAACGCGACCACAGTGAGTGGGACCCTCAGTGATGTTGTGATGCTTTTTTTGTGGGGGGGGGGAGGGGAGACTGACAGGTGCTCAGTCTTCTTGAAGGCTAAACAATGTACAGTGAATCATAATTTCCTGACCATAATAATAGAAGTAATTAGATACTGCTATGAAACCCTTTGAAACCTTTCTTTTCTGGTTTTCCTTCTCTAGCTACTCGGCATACTTGGCGCTTATAACATGATCCGAGACATCGACCTGATATTGAAGTCAGCGGACAGCGAGACAGGAATAAACTATATGCTATGAAACAACCACTGATCATAAGGCAGAAAATGGTAGAACCAATCTTATCAGCCAGTCTTGATAAAAAGCTAGCTACAGTTCAAACTGTAGACTTTATCCTTTGACTACGCTGCTCAAGTTTCTTGCCGAAGAAATGTAAGAGGTCGACGTGATTGCAAGGCTATCGTAACTGTCTCCAGCGCAATTTGCTAGATATTGAACTTGTCAACGTGTAGTGAAAGTGAATTCGACTGCTTGAAAAAACCAAAAACAGAAATTCTTCCGAGTCTAGTTTAGAAGAGACAATGTGTAGCTTCTGGAAGACTAAACATTGTCGTGACACGTGACTAGACTCTCAATGGCTCCTCTACAGATACCTCTTGGGCTACGCTCACACGGCGGCAACGAACGAATTTTCGACCGGTTGAACATTTAGTTGTTCCGTTTAGACGAAACTATCTCAACCGTATAAAAATTTAGACCCCTAGCCTTAAAATATTTGAAAGCCAAAATCGAGTTCATTTTCTTAGCTGGTACGGTGGAAAATTTGACCTGCGCGGTGTGAGCACTATAACCATGTACATTTTTTGGCGACGAAGGTGTGGTTTCATGGATGCGTGGTAACTCAGCTGAAAGACGCCATTTTGGATTTACTGAAGTAGCGCTCTTCGCATGGGTAGATGGTAAAAGCTCTGACAAAAATTGATATTCAACCTGGTTCGTTAGTACCGTGTGAACAGTGAATGAACGGTTCTGTGTGAACGAAGAGTCCAGTCAAATTTCGTCCGGTGGCGTGTTAACGTAGCTTTGGTAGCTAGTCTTCGGTGGTGGTGGTGGTAGGGGGCAAAACGATGGCCTTGTTTCTCTGCTCATCGTTCTATGCTCACTCACTATGTTTTCATGAGTTTTTATTGGCGTAGCCAGCCCATAGACCTGTAGACCCGGGCCTACTAATTTTTGCTTTGATCACTCTACCGCTTGTAATAAACTATGCGCTGTTAGGTTGAGCAAAAAGCTTCAGAGGTCAAAGTGTTGATGAGATCAGTGCGTACTAGTCATGCGTGCAGTTTTCAGGTTACGCAGAAATGAAAGTCAGCCAGGCCTACAACTAGTCGAAAAACTGGCCACGCCCCGTTTTTTTTTTTTTGTTTGTTTGTTTGTTTGTTTGTTTGTTTTGTTTTGTTTTGTTTTTTCATTACATAGTGAAGATTCTTCCAAGGAGAGGGTTACAAGCACTTTTCTCCTATCGTTTTTGCCGTCAGGCCAGTTGTTGTCTGAAAATGGATATTTAACGTTGTATTGTATGTGAATATTTAAAAACTTTGTACGGCCATTTTGTAAAATAAAGATCACTCAAAGCTGGTGCTTACATTTCAGGTAGTTTTACTAGTTTTGCCAGGCTTACCAAGGATACTACATGAGCCTATGCGAATTGCTGTAGATCCGTATAAACTAAATTCAACACCGGCATAGCGTCGTGTTGCCTTATGTTTGCTACGACCTTGCAGAGCGAAGTTGAAGTTTATTGTTTCATTGATTGATTTCCATAGAAGTTACAAATAAATTAAGCATACATGTACTTGTACATGCAAACATCTTTAGCGTCACTGCCCAGTGACGTGAGCATCTAAACAGAAACAGGGGTCAGGTTCTGCTATATTCAGAAGAAAATGTAATTTGATCCTGATGAAATCATTCACTTCGTTCGCCTTTGACGCTGGAGCGTTCAAACAGTTTTTTTTTAAGTTTGTAATACCGACGAGAGCTTTGTGTAGAAAACTCCGATATTAGTTGGATTATATCAAACGAGGAGAGACTCTGTAGTTCAGTCTCTCTTTTTTTTATGCTATCAAGAGAGAATTATCTCATTCTCTCTTAATGCTATGTCTTTCATGCTGATGTATAAGTGGTGCAAAGCGCAGGAAAATATACAATAGGCGTCAAGCGAGAGCAAATGTGCAACCGACACAACGCACGCGCAATGTTAAAGGGCTGAAAAACGTGCAACCGTCGTCGGTGATGGTGAAATACAGCAGCTGAACGCGTAAGTAAATCGGTTCGAGCCAGTAGAGAGGTTAAGCTTCACGTTTACGTCAAACGGCAAACGCCAATTTGTACGACGTGACCATTTTTCTCATTTGTCGTTTACCGTTCATTATTTCTACACGTAAATTAGCAATTTCACGCAATTTTTTATCCGTAAGAATTGTTTTGAGCTGTTCGTTTCTATTTGAGAAATTCTCAACTTGAATCTGACGTTTGCCGTTTGCCGTGTACCTGAAGCAGTGAACTCTCTAATAATGAAGCAAAAAGAAATAAAAAGCAGTCAGTTTGAAATGGTACGTGGTATGTGTGCGAAATACCCCTGCACAACAAAGTATCTGCTTGTTTCCTGCAACAACCTAGGTAAAATGAGCAATAGTATTAAACAAACCAACGGCAGGCTATTTTAGGTGTGGTAGGCGTGGTGACTAAGCGGTTAACAAGAAGCCAGGTGCATACTAGAAATACTAGGAGTAAAGATAACCTTCATATACCATCTTTTAGATCAGCAACAGCAGGTCGGCAATCTTTCTCATATAGGGCTGTTCAGCTCTGGAATGACCTTCCAGAAAGTTTAGCAAACATAGAGTCATTTAATGTTTTTAAGAATGCGATTAAAGGACGTNTGAGCTGTTCGTTTCTATTTGAGAAATTCTCAACTTGAATCTGACGTTTGCCGTTTGCCGTGTACCTGAAGCAGTGAACTCTCTAATAATGAAGCAAAAAGAAATAAAAAGCAGTCAGTTTGAAATGGTACGTGGTATGTGTGCGAAATACCCCTGCACAACAAAGTATCTGCTTGTTTCCTGCAACAACCTAGGTAAAATGAGCAATAGTATTAAACAAACCAACGGCAGGCTATTTTAGGTGTGGTAGGCGTGGTGACTAAGCGGTTAACAAGAAGCCAGGTGCATACTAGAAATACTAGGAGTAAAGATAACCTTCATATACCATCTTTTAGATCAGCAACAGCAGGTCGGCAATCTTTCTCATATAGGGCTGTTCAGCTCTGGAATGACCTTCCAGAAAGTTTAGCAAACATAGAGTCATTTAATGTTTTTAAGAATGCGATTAAAGGACGTGCACTTGACGAGTTTTTAAGCCATTGACACTCAATGGGTGTAATTATGCATACTTTATATATATTTTTCAAAATAATATGGTAATGTTTTATCACTTTCAAATGTTTATTTTAGATTTCTATCGTTCATATTAGATTTTATTGTAATTGGTATGTGAAAACCCATTTTAATTGGATGTACCAATAAAGTTGATTGATTGATTGATTGATGATTGATTGGTTAACGCTTTGACCTCAGCTGCAGGCCTTGGTTCGGTCATGTCTTGAGCACTCACAGTGCGACTACTGTAACCGGAGCTTAAACCGGAGCCACCTAGACAAAGTTGACCAATCGGATGACACGAATGTTGGTTGTAAATGTCCCGAGCTTTATATTGAAAGTTTCAACGCCAAAAACATCGTCTAATAATTATTTTTGCTTTCTTGGACACGTTTGCTACTTGCTGCTTCGAGTAACTTATGATTTTTACGAGCTGCCAAATGGCTCAAGACACTACTTACTCGAAATGTATTGTTATTTTCCTGTAATCCGATTGGTCACATTTGTCCAGGGAGCCTTCAAACCACATTTTAAAAATCAATTTGCAGGTCGTATTCCCCACAGACTTTCCCAAGAAGGGGAGCGGGGAGAAGGAGTGATTGGCCAAGCACTTGGCACAAACATTAGATACGTCTGAACTGATTGGCTGTTGTTAGAAAATAGATAAATCAGAGACGTAATCCGAGATGTAAAACAAATTTTATCTTTCACAGTGTTGTAGATTACAAGTATCAAGAAATTAAAACAACAACAATTTACGTTGAAAGAATGACCGTGTCGTTGCTCAGATTACTTTGTGGATAAAATTCGTCAAAATAAATTTGAGTCCATTAAATTTTGGAGAATAAGCAGCAATCTACCGAGATGTTGCAATTCCTCCGTAGTAAAGCCTAGAGCGATGTTAGGCCTTGTTTGGCCCTATGAAAGAAGGCGCAAGTACCGAAATACATACACAGGAAGTAATGCATTCTCTTCCCCTGTGCCACTCGGCCTTCAAAGGCCACGCGACCACAAAGAAACGATGTGCTTTAGAAACGAGAATGGCAGAGATGTCATTCAGTCCTGGAAATCTTTTGAGAGCCTGATCTTCATTTGCATACTCCAAAAGCAACTTTCCCCTTTCATTTAAAAGTACACAAAGAAAAAACAAAACACTCTAAGGCCTAGCCTGCGTAGCAGGCGTTTGGAAGTAGTGGGCGAAAGAGAGAACGGGCGCGCGCGAGAGAGACACTCGAGAGGTGAAGGTGCGCCTGCACGGAAGGCCCCCGAAAATCGTTTCAAGTGCGTATATTTCCAATTGATCGAGAGGCTCCCGCGAAAAAAACTAACCGCGCGGGGCGAGAAAACTGTCAATCAATAGTACATGGACAACGTAGTGAAGATCTTACATTACATTACACCACTAGCTCAATTGTATACAATCGAAGTTCAGGTCTCGGAGGTCACATCAATGGGACTATGTGGCTGTAATAGTAAGCTCAGAGAACAATATTTTTAGTTTGTTATAATACACAGCATGCATTCTTTAAAAGATACCCAGTTTTGACTTTGTTATTTCCTGTTTATTGTGCCAGTGGTTAATACGACTTAAAGCTGTGTGTTAACCATCAGATTATTGCTCCATCGCTCAGATAACCCAGCTGATCTTTATAACAGATATACAGTCGACTCCCGATAACTCGAACCCTCGCTAACTCGAACCTCGCGCTAACTCGAACCAAAATCGATTTCCCCTGGATTTCCGTCATACTTTCACTGTAATTTTACCCTCAGTAACTCGAACCCTCGATAACTCGAACTCCCGCTAACTCGAACCAATTTTCGTTTCCCCTCAGGTCATTTTCTATATAATTTTACCCT